ATCATCCTATTCCTTATCACTTATATGACGATTCCTATATTGAAATATAGGGGGAATGTATATGACAAGTTTATCATAACTCATCTGACATATGCAGGCTTTCGGGATTTAGTACCGGGTTTGACATTTAAAAACTACTGGCACAGATGTTGACAAATGTTGCTGAACCAGCTAATACGTGTAGGTTCTCACATAAAGTGATATATCGTTATATGTGGTTGGACTATTCCAGACATTTCCACTCACTCTAAAACATATTGTGGCGTCTGCTACCAATGACAAAGTCGCCCGAACCATGTTGCACATATTATCTAAAAAATAACCTCCACGAGATATACTGCTTCATGCGATGTCAAGAACGAAACACCTGACAATTATCTCCATGAACCTACATTTGTGTCTGAACGCGTCCCCTCATTTATCATCTCACCTCTGACGTCAATACACCCGACACCGCATTGAAAACATTAAATAATTATCAAACTCCTAGATTCTGCTTTGTCTCGCGAAAGGTTAGGTAGACTGGCTGATTCTCTGGCGTTTCAAATGACAATTACATTGAATTTTTGCTTTCTTCCTTGTCACAGAGTCGGCATAAAACCATTCTGTGGAATCAGCAGAAGTATGGCCATGCCACCTGAACATCGTTTCGAACATTTATTTGTCTCTGTGCTCTTCTAAGAACACAATTAAAACATCCAATGAGAGCACAGCTGTTGTTTTATGATTTCAATATAACTTTCCCCCATTATTTTGTTCTGCGTTCTGCTTTTTTTTATTCATAACAAAGGAAAACCAGTTTGAATTTGATCCCGTTTGAGTTCCCAAAGGAGGCTGATATTTGATGATTGGTTTTCATAATTCCATTGCAAATCACATTTTTGTAAAAGAATTCCTGTAAATATTACGTGTTAATGTGGCCCAGATGACCAGATTCGAGTCAACAATATCAAGATGAATACACATCTTTGCTAAATAAGTATGATGTTTCAAAGGTCAAGACATTGTTATTTCGTCAGTTTAAGTACTGCCAGTGAGTACGTGAAGAAATGATTTGCCTTTGCATGTGTTTGTGACGGGTGCCAACGGTGGGACAGGATACGCTCACCTTTTCGCGAACACTTGGTACCATCACTATTTCATAGTGATTCGTAAACACATGCTCATGATATAGTCGGATTAGTGCAATCGACACTGCTTTAGGCAGAGCTTTCTTATGAATATGGAAAAGATTTTTGTCGCTTTTATGTTGGTAACATTCCTCTCTTATGAGCAGTACAAATAGAACATGCAGTGAATCGAACTCAGAACGTCGGTGAGACGAGCGAACGCGAACAACTGGGCCCATCAAACAGATGTACAGATACAGTTAAAGCATCCCCGATTAATCTCCTATATATTATCATATAAATTTACGTACATAACGAACTCTCTACAGCGAACTGACAATTGTTAACCTATTTAAACTTGAATTATGTTAATCTTAATTCTGATCAAATAATAATTTCAGATGCAATTTTGTCCGACCATTGCATTAAAATGTTGGTACTTTTTTAACTGAATCACTGTTCATGCGGGAGGAAACGTGTATAAACGTGATGTGTATTGTATTTTGTTTTAGCCAAGATGGCGGACGTTTCCGAGCGAAAACGTGTATAACGAACAACGGATATAACGAACTGATTTCTCCGGTCCCTTGCAGTTCGTTATATCCATGTTCTACTGCACAAATATAAAACGTCAACAGTGGAAAATATTTATCTCGATTATCTGGCGAAACAGATTCCACTTGCGTGAAAGGCAAAATAGTGGTGAAAATTATATTATTGGATCACTGAAATTCAGCAATGGCACCAGGTGTTCGCTAAAAGGGTAAGAATGTCGAGTTCTAGCACCCGCCACTCAAACAATTGCATAAAAAAGTGCACGCAATGATTAATCTAAGCGAAACGGCAGATAGAAGGTGTCCGACGTCAGATCATTAAAGAGAGGTTAGCATCTATTGTTACACAGACATGGTCCTCATCAGAAACTAACTTCGAGACTAAAACAATATATATACTACTCCACTTTTTTATCGTTCTATGAAATACAAAACTGGCAAGAAATATGGCAAGGGTATAATTCATATGGAATGACATATCTGATTTTCCCTATCAAAACTAGAGTTGTGATATATAGGTAATGTACGGTTATTTGTCAACGATCACAATGTATACCAATGCTTCTGGTAAGAATTTCAACGCTAAATAATTTGTTTTCATGTTCTTTGTGCTCTATATGTTTAAAGTATGGAAGGGGATATTGACTGGGGTGTTCTATTTCTGTGGCTCAAAATGCAGAAATAGTCTCAGGAGGGCTTTGGTTCAAAGCGTACCAAGAAGAACTTTGTTCACCTACCGGACACACAAGCAGTGGTACATGTATGGTTGAACAAGAGACACAACAGTCGTATTGCCAGAAACACTGAATACGCGTATCCCAAGGACCAGATTTAATAAGAACATTTTCGGACTCATATTAAAGCGCCAGTTTTAATGTTAAAAACATATTTATGAATGAAATCGGAAGTGATACAACGACGAACTACTAGCAATGGTAGATTTAGGACTTTGGCAGATCCGCAGAAATTCTAAACACGGACAGGTCTATGACCTAAGGTGATCTTTCATCACGTATTGACACTCCCTCTGACTACAGAGAAGGGGGGGGGGGGGGGGGAGTTCTGGAGTCAAGGATTGTTGACAGTAAGTCACTCCTGTTTGCCCGAGAAACGCAGCCTTAGCAACGGCCTTTTCAATATAACGTCATCTCGCGCGTTCAGACTTGTCAACTAAAATCTTTCCCCGTGTTAAAAATGGTTACATTTAAATAAATCGATTTGTAAAAAAAGCCATTTGAGTTTTGAACATAATGACAACAGAATATTTTATCAATGGTTATCATTCAATTGTATAACGCAGGTCGTTCCGGGCAGTAACGCTAACACAAAAGAACGCACTGAAATCATTGCCGAGTCAACAGTGACAATAGCTTTTTCGAATTCTGAAAACACAAACTGCGTCACGGTACATCATGATAGCAGGGTGGCAATCAGGTTAGCTATGACACACGAGGTCCGCAACATTGGGATCATTGGCAACATATGGTACAAAACATAATACCAATAATGTAATCACAAACAACTCACCAACTCATCATTTAAACATGTAATAGACGTTCAACGTATACAATTTAACGCTTGACGTCATTCCTCTACGTTAAGGAAGAGACGAGTTGTTGGTGTTTTGTGTGAATACTGTTGTTACATTGCTTGTGACATTGTTACATTTGTCCTTATTAATGAATTTCAAAATAACTCGAGTCGTATATGTATGAGCATCATTGGTATGACCATTGTTATTTACCCATGAAGAGCGCAATGGCCTCTATTTAAGCCCAGCGGACGCCGGTTCTCGGGGGGAGGGGTGCGATAAACACAGAGCGCGCTCCCCCTGAAATCGCCAGCAGTTCGTACTTTTCAAGTTGTTTGTGTCTTGGTTTGAGAGACGATTGATCTAAATACCGTCATTGTTGTCTCATCTTCGACAATCAATATCAGCATATGATGAATGACTTTGTTTAATTATCGCCATTACATGACTTATTTAATTTTAATGTAGCCATTTGTATGCGTCACTGAAAGTCATACTTAGTGTACATATGAACGGGTTTTTTTACAACTTTGTAATCATTAACTTTATTTAAATCGACATATGCAATAACATGAGACTGCATAGAAACATAATATCTTTTAGAGATGTTAAGTGGATAACAGAAAACAACAATACATCAGTTGCACATATGTGACACATGTTGTAAATATTTTTCTACTTATGCTTAAATTACATGATCGAATGAGAAGGTTTGTATGTCACTGTGGGCATCAAAGACTATCATTTTTCATGATGCTTGTGAGCAAATAAACACTATTTTTTTTACAGAGAAAACTTTCCAGATACATTGTTTATTTGTTTTTACTAAACGCCGCACTCGGCAATATTACAGCAATATGACGGGGGTCTGTAAATGATCGAGTCTGGACCAGACAATCCAGTGATTGACATCATTAGAACTGATCCACGCAATTGGGATACGATGTCATGCATCAACAAAGTCAGCGAGACTGACCACCCGATCCCGTTAGTCGCCTCTTACGACAAGCATAGTCGCCTCTTACGACAAACTTGTCGCCTTCTACGGCAAGCATGGTTTGTTATGTCCTCTTTAGTCTGTATGCAATAACATACAGCACAGTGATTGTTGACTGGTAACTATTTTTTCCACCGCTGTTACATTCAATTTAAATAGATCCCAATTCTATTCCGATTTAAGCAAAATAACAAAAAGTTAATTTAGGGTTTAAAATTAAAATTTTACACATCGGTTAAATTTTCACAGCACTTCTAAACAATATCGGCAATTCCTTTGAAATCAATTTGTATGTTCGTCGATTGTCGTGTTGTTCAAACATAATTCTTATACTGTCTTTAAAGCTTTTAAACGATTAAACAACTCATATTCACACACTACCCTAAATACGACAGCGGTTCTGCCTGTTGTGTTATTAGGCTGTGTAGAACACTGATGAAAGATAGCTCAGGTGCTTTTCCCTTGTCACTCGTCTTTCCGACATTACCGTCGCCTGTGTGCTTCGATGACATTATGCCCCTTAATAATGATCGACTGCCTTTGATGGCTAGCAGTGCCGTGTTCGCTGGCAAATCCATGATGGCGGAAAATACCTGATCGAAGGTCCGATGACCATACAGGTACGCTGTCCACCAGGTCATAGCTACCTGACAAATCTGTAATAAAACTCATCAAATCTTGTGACAACTGTTAAACTCCGGAATAAAAACCTTATTAAACACACACAAACACCGACAGTGCCTAGCTGACAAGACAGCCATACATGTGTTACTATGGAGAGGTGTATGTATGTGTGTGTTGGTACTTACGTTGGCCATTGGATCGACGGATGATGTTTTCAAGAAAGGTGTTCTGGGGGGCAACAAGCCCACGTCTCGCCCCGGGCATGTTGGTTGAAGTGACACCTTAGTCCTCGGGTAGATACACGACCAGGTATGTCAGCGATGCGTTGCCACACCTGGCGAGGTGACAGGACAGGTATCCATGCTTGAAGTCAGTTCTGTAAACACATAGGCTCTCTTGGCTTGTATTTCCTTAGGTCTTCTCAACTGTCAGTTCTTCTAACTCCAACCACGTATATCAGGCAGGTATTCTCTTTAAGCCAATCTATCATTAATAAGGCAGGGCTCAAGTGCGCATGTCAAGGCACTTATTATGCAAATGATGTAAATTATATCATGTTACCGATTCCCTCTGAAGCTGACTGGCATGCTGTTTCTGTCGCCATGGTGACAAGGTGATGGTAAGGGTAGTGTCACAATATCAAGCGACAGACCTACGTCCGCACACCCGGGCTACAACAGGCGTTCACGGGACCAAATATTCCCTCTCACCTGTTCGAGAGAAAACAGGAGAAAGTTTGGCACAGGTCAAATATCGTGTCTCCCAGTCGGGCATTCAATGATGGGACAGGTGGACTAATTAGCACCTGAGCGGGTATAGACGCTGAGAGGTGTTACTGGTTCCCTCACACCTGAGCGTTCGATACAAATCAATGGACAGTAAAGCCAGGCGGAGACACTGAAAGTGGCAGCTACTAGTACCACTTTAGTGTTGACGAACACAGGTTCCAACTAATCGATAGCTTCATGCCATATAAGGCAGGCAGCACACGCCTAGCTCCAAGTAAAACAAAGCATCGGTCGCACGACCTACTCGTCACGGGCAGAAGCTGGTATTCAAACTAGATAATACCAAAATAATGTCTACAGGATATGACGCTGATAGGTACCTTCAGTTCGTCAATTATTCATTCATAAATCATACAATTGGGTGCTTATATTGGTTAGAACGACATTCCATAACACGGCGACATAGCAAAACCTGCATACAGGATATAACGAGGGAAGGATGTGCGACCACACCACCTGTGTGTGTCATTCTGTGGACAATGACCACAGCAGTCATCCGTGAAACTATCGTTCCAAATGAAGACACAATTGTATTGCTCGTAAACTTGAATACCAAACAACAATGTAGCAACAGATTGGTATTTGGAATTGTCCACATACATAAACCTTATCAGTGTCGCGAGCAGTTAGTTGTGTCTGAGTACATAATATAAGCAATATAGAAGAGTATGTTACTTAGTTTTTTTAGTTTTTTTTGTTGGTGGGTGGGGTTGGAGGTTGGGGGTTGGGGTTGGGGTGGGGGTAGGGGTGGGGGTGAAGTCGATATTGGCTGAAAAAAAGATCCAGGATTATGTTGTTACGTAGAGGATTGGGAGTATATGTGAATGTGGTCTTTTTGTATGATAGTTGTACTGGCGTTGATGGATAGTATACGTAAGTTTTGTTGGGGATATGGGTATATACAGTATAGAAGGGATATATACGGTATGGAAGGTGAGGTGAGCAATAGAAGGGGTATATACGGTATTGAAGGGGTAGATATGGTATGGAAGGGGCATGCACGGTATTGGAAAAGGTATATGCGGTATGAGCAGAGTTATATACGGTATGCAATTAGTATATGAGGTATTGGAGAGGTAGATACGGTATGAAAGGGGTATTTACGGTATGGAAGAGGTATATACGGTATGGAAGGGGTTTTTACGGTATGGAAGGGGTATATACTGTATGGAAGGGGTATTTACGGTATGGAAGGGGTATATATGGTATGGAAGGGGTATATACGGTATGGAAGGGGTATTTACGATATGGAAGGGGTATATACGGTATGGAATGGGTATTTACGGTATGGAAGGGGTATTTACGATATGGAAGGGGTATATACGGTATCGAAGGGGTATATACGGTATCGAAGGGGTATATGCGGTATTGAAGGGGTATATACGGTATCGAAGGGGTATATGCGGTGTGGAAGGGGTATATACGGTATGGAAGGGGTATATGCGGTATGGAAGGGGTATATACGGTATGGAAGGGGTGTATACGGTATGGAAGGGGTATATACGTTATGGAAGGGGTATATACGGTATGGAAGGAGTATGTACGGTATCGAAGGGGTATATACGGTATGGAAGGGGTATATACGGTATGGAAGGGGTATTTACGATATGGAAGGGGTATATACGGTATGGAAGGGGTATATACGGTATGGAAGGGGTATTTACGATATGGAAGGGGTATATACGGTATGGAAGGGGTATATACGGTATGGAAGGGGTATATACGTTATGGAAGGGGTATATGCGGTATTGAAGGGGTATATACGGTATCGAAGGGGTATATGCGGTATGGAAGGGGTATATACGGTATGGAAGGGGTATATACGGTATGGAAGGGGTATATACGGTATGGAAGGGGTATATGCGGTATGGAAGGGGTATATACGTTATGGAAGGGGTATATGCGGTATGGAAGGGGTATATACGGTATCGAAGGGGTATATGCGGTATGGATGGGGTATATACGGTATGGAAGGGGTATATATGGTATGGAAGGGGTATATGCGGTATGGAAGGGGTATATACGGTATGGAAGGGGTATATACGGTATGGAAGGGGTATATACGGTATGGAAGGGGTATATGCGGTATGGAGGGGTATATACGTTATGGAAGGGGTATATGCGGTATGGAAGGGGTATATACGGTATCGAAGGGGTATATGCGGTATGGAAGGGGTATATACGTTATGGAAGGGGTATATACGGTATGGAAGGGGTATGTACGGTATCGAAGGGGTATATACGGTATGGAAGGGGTCTATACGGTATGGAAGGGGTATATACGGTATCGAAGGGGTATATGCGGTATGGAAGGGGTATATACGGTATGGAAGGGGTATATATTGTATGGAAGGGGTATATACGGTATGGAAGGGGTATATGCGGTATGGAAGGGGTATATACGTTATGGAAGGGGTATATGCGATATGGAAGGGGTATATACGGTATGGAAGGGGTATATGCGGTATGGAAGGGGTATATACGGTATGGAAGGGGTATATACGGTATGGAAGGGGTATATGCGGTATGGAAGGGGTATATACGGTATGGAAGGGGTATATACGGTATGGAAGGGGTATATACGGTATGGAAGGGGTATATGCGGTATGGAAGGGGTATATACGTTATGGAAGGGGTATATGCGGTATGGAAGGGGTATATACGGTATCGAAGGGGTATATGCGGTATGGAAGGGGTATATACGTTATGGAAGGGGTATATACGGTATGGAAGGGGTATGTACGGTATCGAAGGGGTATATACGGTATGGAAGGGGTCTATACGGTATGGAAGGGGTATATACGGTATGGAAGGGGTATACACGGTATGGAAGGGGTATATACGTTATGGAAGGGGTATATACGGTATGGAAGGGGTATTTACGGTATGGAATGGGTATCTACGGTATGGAAGGGCTATATACGGTATGGAAGGGGTATATATACGGTATGGAAGGGGTATATACGGTATGGAAGGGGTATTTACGGTATGGAAGGGGTATATACGGTATGGAAGGAGTATATGCAGTATGGAAGGGCTATATAAGGTATGGATGGGTATATACGGTATGGTAGGGGTATTTACGGTATGGAAGGGGTATATACGGTATGGAAGGGGTATATACGGTATGGAAGGGGTACATACGGTATGGAAGGGGTATATACGGTATGGAAGGGGTATATACGGTATGGAAGGGGTATTTACGGTATGGAAGGGGTATATACGATATGGAAGGGGTATTTACGGTATGGAAGAGGTATATACGATATGGAAGGGGTATTTACGGTATGGAAGGGGTATATACGGTATGGAAGGGGTATATACGGTAAGGAAGGGGTATTTACGGTATGGAAGGAGTATTTACGGTATGGAAGGGGTATATACGGTATTGAACGGGTATATACGGTATGAAAGGGGTATATACGTTATTGAACGGGTACATACGGTATGGAAGGGGTATTTACGATATGAGAGCGGAATATGCGGTATGCGAAGTGGTATTTGCGCTGTGGAAGGAATATATGCGGTATGGGAAGCGGTATATCGGTATTTAAAATGTTTATGCTGAATGGGAAGCGGTATATGCGGAAAGGAATATCGGAAAAGTTTAATGAGTTATGAAGAAGTATAGCTGTTTTGGAAGCGGTATATGCAGTGCGGTATATGCAATATGGGAAGAGGTATATACGGTAGGGGAAGACGAATATACGATATTGGAAATTTAGATGTGATAGGTTAAAAAGTATATGCGACATGGGAAGATGTATATATGGTATGAAATAGGTCTATACGGTATGGATGTTGTATATGAGGTATATGCAAATACAGGAAATGTATACAGTAAACTACGTTTAAAACGAACACGCTTATAACGAACTGACGGATATAACGAACATATTCTTTTGTCCCGGCCATTTGCTGTGTATATGCTTATAACGAACTACGGTTATATCGAACTAATACCCTTTGAGTTCGCTATAACCGTAGTTTACTGTATATGGTACGGGAACAGGTATATGCTGTATGGGAAGGGGAATATACGGAACGGGAAGCGGATTATACAGTCTTGAAATGAAAAGTATAAAGAAGTATACGCTGATTGCTGATGTATATTGAACTATCTGAATGCTATAATATTTGAAGGATGACTTTTGTTTCCCAATCATGTGACCGATGTGTTCAATAACAAGGTCTATATTTACTGTCAAGGTACATAACACATCCTGACAGTAACAGGCTTATTAAGAATTTCGAAAACCACAACAACTTCGACCCCATTCTTCTGTTACCGTGTAGTCGGAGGTGAGGACGATGACAACGACGTATTGTGGCATGCTTGGTAGACTAGCAACAATTGACAGAAAACGGTACACAAGTTTATCAATTATTTCTCATTGTTCAAGTGGATGTATCGATCTATGTCAGGAAAGACGTTGATCACAATGGTGCTGAGTATTCCCACGACATACACGGACTTCGAGAACGGCTAGGGCGGAACGACTTATAATATAGGAGAATCATCGCGGCGCCTCGGATCAGTGGGTATTCACATACATGTTGCTGCAACGTTTAGCCTTGAAAACAATGGAACCGGATCTAAAACAATACAGCCGTCAAGAATTATTGAATAAAAGCCGTCTCACTTGACTGTCATATAGAACCCTCACAGACTCTGACATCACGGCTCCTTCGGGCTATCCGGGTCAGAATTAGTCTTCAGCAACCTAAATCGTAAGAGGCGACTAAGGGGATCCGGTGGTCAGGCTCGCTGACTTGGTTGATGAATGGCATCGTATCCCAATGCTTGATGCTCATGATGTCAATCACTAGCTTGTGTTATCCAAACCCGATTATTTACCGAATAGTCCTTGGTTCCGCGTTAAACAACAAACTAACTCCAAACATCCACGGTCTGCCTTACTGTCGTAAGTCTATGATAATAATGAGTTTAAAACGGACCCATCTAAAGGTTTATACTGCCGAAGTCCATTTTGTGTTTGTCTGCCCGTTTTACGCATCATTAAGACAGAAGTATATTCCTGTAAGATTCTATAACAATCCATGTATTAATACTTTTAGCAATCTCTTAAATAGCCAACATGACTGTATACTCAGAAATGTAGCTAAGTATGTGAAGGAAGCTCTATTATTACGT